TGTGTGTGTGTGTGTGTGTGTGTGTGTGTGTGTGTGTGTGTGTGTGTGTGAACGGGTTCACGAAAAGCGACTGAGCACAACTTTCGCTCAATGGCAGTGAAATGAAAATAACTTTAGAACTTCGCGCAAAAACGATCGCGTCGTGCAACACACAAAATCCAATTAACTGGAACTGTACAAATTACGGGAAGGTGAATGAATAGCTTGGAAGGATTGCGAACGAGAAATAATGATCATGACGGAGACGGAACAATCAGGTTGAGTGGTGAGTAAAGTACAGAATAAAAATTCCATCAATTGCGTATCGCTCACCTTGATCGTTTTGCAAAACTCGAAACGTGTCTACGTGTTCGTGAGCGAACAGACTGATCATGAGCACGTCACCGTTTCGTTGCAGCAGCCGAACAAAACGATCGTTGATTTCCTCACGTAAAAATTCGAACCGATGTGGCATGTTCTCACTGGCACCCGGAGGAAAATGGCTGACCAGGATGATCTGGGAATGGAGATTCAAAACAGACAATTATTGATGGAAGCACTAATCATATTTGAAATTTATTAACATAAAAAAATGAATGCGTACAGAAGCGATGCATTATGACATCAATTGGCCTAATTCCACAAGCAAATTTGTGTTGGCTCAATGAAAAAAATGATGAAATCGTACAACAGCGTTATAGCCTGGCAGTGCCGGGATTTAGGAATCAGCCAATCACTTTGCATCGTTGTGCCTCTTGAGGGAACTAGTTTGTGTGTGTGTGTGTGTGTGCGTGTGTGTGGTTGAACAATGCTCTGATGGTTTGTCTTTCGTTTTTCACTGTTACTACTGGCTTTCTGGATTTGCGTTCCCTTTTCAGAACAGCTACTGAGGCGACAGACAACCTGACCGAACATGATAGAGAATTTAGTTCCACTCGATCACATCACATTTAAAAACAATGCGTTTTTGCGACAGGTTGCTTCTTATGCGTGAAGGAATTGACTTGACATAAATAACAAAAAATATTACGGATATTTCTATATTCCTTGAGCCATTTATCTGCCTCCGAAAACCTCAGTATGATCAGGGGTGGGTGTCTAGGATTGCGCCTGGTCACCCCTCACTTGCACCAAGCGAAATGCTCCCTCCCATACGACCTAGCGTCTCAAATAGTGTCTGCTAAGGAAGCCCTACTCACCGCCTCCTCGTGACGGTGTTTTCCCTCCAAAATGAGAGGACGAAAAGTCGACATCCGCGTTGATGGGCCACTGGTAGTTCACCTAAGAGAGTTGGCTAAAAACTCTGATTCCAAACCAACCAAGAAGAAGCGTACGAACCACATGCACACCTTCCCAGTTATAGCAACGGTTACCGGCTCTATTGGGTATCGAGGTGTATTAGGCACTTTGGACGTTTGAC